AACTAAGTAACAATCCTGTTCACTTGGTCTGACCACTTTCCTACTTGGTTAAATTTACAAATGACAGGACCGCCTGCCTAAAAAGGATCCAGTCTTTAAAATAGTTCGAATACCGATTGGATAAATGGCCGACTGATCGTCTATCCTGGAAACAGACAACCAGTCGTCCAGGGGCATTGGCGGCGTGACTAACTATCCGTACCTGTCTGCAACTATCGGCTATGTAAAACAGTCGGTATAGTGAACAATTGGATATTAGAATATTCAATACTTAGACAAATTTGAAGCAAAACAAAAATTCATTAAAAAGAAGCTGGTCATTAAAGACCGGAAAAATATTCAAAGCCCCGGCCCCCTGGCCGAGTAAATACAAAACAAACGACACGCAGGCCGTGGAAAGAATACATAAAGCTTAAGAAGGGGGCAGATCTTCAATATTAGCAGCTACCGCCTGGTCAGCACTCTTGTTGTTGGACTCGGCTTCAGCTGCATCCTTTTTTGATGCATTACCCCCAAGCGGCACAAGCGCCACTACCGGCTCCTCCTCCTCCAACGCTTCCTCCAACGCCTCTTCCTCAGCAGCCGCCAGGATCTCTTGATTATATGTATCAGAACACTGGCGGTACGTTTTTTCCCATGAGGCAAAGTCGGCATTGGGGAAGAGGCGGCCCCAAGTCATGCGCTGGATTTGAGCGGAGTCTTCCATCATCTCCCGGACCAGCTCTTTCTTCTCTTGCTCGGCCTTTTCCGAGAGCTCCTGAGTAAGACTCTTCTCCTGGGTCACCAGGCGTTCCTTTACGTTGGCCAAGGATTTCTCCAAGGCTTCGTATGAGTACATCTTTAGGCGAAGAGGTTTCAGCTCGGCCTTGAGATTGGTGATGGTCGCCTCCAGCTCGCCATTCCTCTTCTAGGCCGCCTCTAACTGAGCCCGAACAGCGGCGGTAGCCTGCGCCTGATAATAAAGAATATCAATGGTCAGAACTTCATTTTGGGCAATTTGAAACATTGCCTTATCACAGTCAGAGGCGGCCATAGCTTTTGCAGCCTTTACCTCTTTGTTCTTCCGGTCAAGCGGCTTGCGAAGGCCGTTCACTCGGAGCAGGGCCTAAGTACAAAGGAACAGGCGTCAGTTTCCAAAAAAAAGAAAACAGGCGTCCTGGAATTCAAATACTAAAAAATATGCTAAGTATACCTCAGCAAGGACCCCTGCAATCCCGTTTAGGTCAAGGGTGCCGACACCCTTGATCGCCTCCCTTTCAGCTGGAGGAACGGCCCTGATCATAGACTTGGCCACCTCTACCAAGTCAAGCTCCTGAGGGCCGGGTGTATCAAGCATAAACAAACGGATCAGACCTAGTAAAAAAGGGAGCAAGTCTAAAATTTACAAGGACAACTTCATACTTCTAGGCGGCCCAGTTGGAGTTTTAGAAGAAGTGGCCGGCTGTTTCTCAGCCGCCACATGTTTCCTGGCAGAACCAGGAGAGCTCGCAACAGTCGTCCTCCGGGCCTTGGGGTCCGGCTGTTGGGAAGATGAAGCTCTTGGAGCACCCGTCTAAAAGAGAAGAAAAAAGTCAGTATATGCATAAACACAACTCCAAAAAGAGGGTGAAAGGTTCGGAGCTCACCAAGGGTGCCCCCTTCTTGGGGGAGTCGGTTGAAGCTTGTTGCATGATGGAGGCCCGCAACATGGCCGCCGCAGTCTTGGAGGCGGTAATTTTGCTCATGGCGTCAGCTACAAAAACAAACAGCAAAGTTAATAAAAGTCATAACAAGAAATGTATGGAACAACAGAGTATTCGACAGGCCGACTACCTCTTGAGCACCGACTGCTGAGGCCACAGGCGGCCAAAAAGTACTCGTCGTAGAGCCATTTGAAGCTCGGGACGCAGTGCAGGGGTACTTGCTCTCGTACCCCTGAAGTAGAGTCGACCCTCGACTCTACTTTAAAGAGTCCTTTATCAAGGATCTCTTTCTTAGCCTTGGGGGGAACAGGCGGCATGCTACGGCCGTCTGCAAGAAGGGGCGGATTCCTGTTCCACCTATTGAAGCGCTTGTTCAGCTCAGTGTCTGAACTCTCAATGATGAGGAAGGTGCTCCACCAGTCCTTCCACTTGTTTGCTTTACCTCTCGTCATGAGGTAGCCCCTGTGGCTTGTCAATTGATACCAGCCGGTACCGCCTGCCTTAGGGGTCCGGCTGAGATAGTTCATATGGGCGAAAGCCTCGAAGCTCGGCTCCACCCCGTGCAGTTCGCACCCGGCCACATAGCCGAGTACGTTGACCCAGGAGTTTGGGGCTAACTGCCATAACCCCAACTCATACCCATCCAAGATCCGCTGAATAGCCGGATGTAATGGGAAGCGCAGCCCAGCCTTGATGGCCGCCTCGTAGCAGCCAAAGCAGGCGCTATCATAACTGGTACCAGCCGGCCAGACGACTGTGTCTTCTGGATCCGGCACAAACACTAAAAAGTCGGGGCCCATTGTGTGGTTTGCGATAAAGCACTCCACTTTCTCTTGCATGACTGTGATCCGGCCCCGAGGTACCGTGCAGTAGTAGGGGGTATTTTGCTCTCGGTAAGAGGCGGATGGCTCCGCCCAATTGTCCCCCTTCTCAACTGTGTGAGAAAGCCTCGCCTCTTGCAGGCGGCTGTTTTTCTCTTCTGTGTCCAGAGAGGCATGGCCAGAAGAGCTAGACTCGGAATCGCCCTCTGACGAGTCCGAAGAGGACGACTCCTCCCCTCTCCCGGAGGGGCCCGCCTCCTCCCTTTGAAAAAGAGCAGAATTGTTAACTGTTAAATGGGAAGGGGTCACTATGACTCCTCCCTCAGAATTGCCGGCTTTCAGGCCGCCTTGTTTCACTTCCACATCTGGCGCCTGGTCAGATGTTTCACTAATCGGCACCCTGTGGGAGGAGCCGTCTGAATTTGAGATCCTAGCAGTCTTTTTCGTTCTGGCCATCCTGCTCTGCATAGACACAGATACAGTCGGACTTTGTATAAAGGGCAAAGATGGGTCCGGAAAAGGGCAGGCGACACTCCTAGTCCTAGATTCAGCCGTCCTCGGTGACCGGCTGATCACTAACCTAGGTCGTGTCGTGTGCTTCCGTGGTGCCATTTCAAAAAAATAAAAAGAAAATTAAGAGTAAGAGAACCGACAGTTACCTGAACGAGTGACGGTTGATGAAGTTCTGAAAATCCTTTGCGGTCGGCTTGTCAGAACAGGCGGTAGGCAGAAAAGGTCCAAAATGTCAGAGCAAGTTCAGGGGTCCGAATGTTCTCTCACAAAGTTCTCAAGTGTGAAAATGACTCAAGACAACTCTCCCTTATATAGGCGAAGTGAGAAGGCGAAGGGTCACTTTCAGAATTCAAAATTTGGGCGGGAAAATCTCTCGGCCTTTCGCCGACTGACACCTGTAGCAGGCCGTCGCCTGTTACAGTGCAGCACCTGTCACAGGTAACATGTGACCAGTCACGTGCCACCTGTGAGGGGCAAATGATTAGGTGATTTTTGCTCCTACCAATCGGAATGCGCCACGTGGGCCAATCAGGTCCTGCCAAGTGTCCCCCAGTTGGAACTGTCAGGGCTTGCCACGTGGCACGCGCTTATTCGTCCACCTTGGACCTATTATGTCATGATACGTGGCATACTCCATGCCTAATGGAGAAACCGGCCACCCAGGCCCAACTTCCGAGGGAAGCCCAATCAGCCTTAGGTTAACCTAAACCTAGGATTGGCGCGTTTCCCAAGGTTATAAATACCTCCCTTAATCCTCATTAAGGGGGGATTACGGAAAAAACACATTGATTACACCCAGAGTTACAGGCTGATTACGCTAAAAACTCACATTAAACACTCTCACCTAGAGAGACCCACTCACTTTAATTTCCGCATTAATTACTCCTTAATCAAGTACTAACTTGACCGTTGGAGGCGGAGCTCCCACCACCAGGAGTCTCCGTTGTTTTGCAGGTACAGGCGTCCGGTTCCAGTCTCGAAATTGTAACTCTCCCGCAGGACATCAGAAAACCCCGAAACAAGTTGGATTTACTATATTAAAATGCTTGGCTTGCCCTTTACTTAAAAAGAAGAAAAAATAGTTATTGTAGCTGTAGTGGAAGTGGAAATATTTATTGATGGTCTAATTGACAAACAAAAATTAGGGGGCATATGGGTAATTTTATTTGTTTAACTAGGGATAATTTTGTAAGTTTCATCCCTTTCTTCCTCTCTTTTCCAATCTTCCATTACAACAACCCACCTTTTTACTCCGTGAAATCTCTATTGTAGACCACTGCCACCACCAACCACCTAAGATAGTTACAATTGCTTCTGCGAAGGAAATGCTACTCTAAGGGGTTAATATGACCCTAATTTACACCCTTTTGCTACCAGGGTATCTTTTTGTTACCGCTGCAAAGCGACGTTGGAGTGGTTGTTGAGGAAGGGGGAAGAAGAAGAGGGACGCGAAGAGGCCCTTTCAAAGAGGAACAAGGGGTTGTGATGGTGATGGCAGCTGGGACGAACACTAGAAGACAGAGATGATTATGGCAGTTCGTGGTTGATCGACGAGATGACAGGGGGATAATGATAGTAGTGCGGTGAATCGATGACCAATGGTCGGCGAGATGACAGGGAGTAGACGGAGAATCTAAGATGGTGGTGGGTTGTCTTTCGTGAATGGTGATGCTAGATCTAAGGGTTTTTATTTTTAAAAAGTGTATTATATTGCAAAGCGGCCCACAAAAGAGACTGATTTACAATATTACAATATTTTGTCAATCAACCTGATTGACTGGGACGGCCTCCCAGTGGAATTACACTTACTCAACATTATATTACTCTTATAACCCAAATTTGTCAGCAATAAGTCTACAAGGTTTAATTAAAGGGGAATTAACATATTGAGCAATGAGTATAAATCAAAAATTAATAACACCAACTAACACATGATTTTGTCATGCATTCATAAACTAAAACGAAGTATCACTAAGAAAATGAATTTATTGTTACTAAAGTGGAATTTTGTACTTAGTATTAGAAGAGCAGCATGTATTTTTGCATAACAAAAGGTTTTGAATACCACCAGAGTGAAAGCATCGTTAAGCACCAAATTAGTATCAAGAGACAAAAACCAGAGTGATTGACTACTATAGCAACTAACTTGACTGATTTAATCGCAGGGTATCTCTTGCAGGCATTCGCTCAAATGTTTTGGGATGGCAGTCGTGATACTCAGTACTCGTAGTAGACTAATAACAACCATAAGGTGAGGTAGCAAATAAGGATTTCTACAAGCAAAAACAACTTTGTAAATTATGCTGTACAGGTGAAGCAATATCATTGAATGATTGAAGTGTATGAATCAGATGTACAGCCGATGGTGTATTTCTCCCCACACCCAAACTAGTAACACTACCTCTCTGTTCAGTAATCGATTTAGCACAAGTCTTCCTTCATGTTCACCATGGTATATCAACAAATCTTTCATTAATCTATCTGCAGCGATAAGCACCCTGTATATGATCGACTTCATCTTACAGCTTCTGGCGCAGAATTGCAATAGGGTGTGTTCAAGCAGACCAATTTAGTGAACATGAGACATACACTAGCAAAACCTAATCCAATTATCATACCAAAACTACACTTCTGTCGATCCAACTTCACAGCTCTGCCAACTATGCTTCCGAAAATTGGTAGTAAACCCCCACATGCAATCACCATCAAGTGATCCAGCCCCTTGTAATCTATTCCAGTTATTATTGCTCCAATTGCCGACACTGGACCCACCACCCCAATCAGTGTAGCTGCTGCAATAGACCCATGCCAACTATCCGTAGCCCCATATATGCAGCTTGCCGCTGCAGCCCCACGGATTAGCCCATGTAAAGACACGGGCAGCACTATATACTGGCCAAGCCCGTAAGCTTTTGGTGCTGCGACTCCCAGCGCTAGGCCTTCTGCTAAAGCATGGAACGCGATTGCCGTGCATGATAAAAATGATTGAATTGTCAGGGCACTCAATGAGCAGCCACCAACAGCAAACAAGGAATTTGCTGAGTTTCTCTTTTTTCTAACCGCGTTCAAGATGCTGGATGTTAATACATGCACAACAATAGCTCCCAAGGCTAGCAGCAATATAAGCGGAAGAAGCCCCATTTTTGAATATAAAAGTAGCTGCAACGGTCGCCAGGCTCCCAGGATAAAGGCAATCCCACAAGCTATACCAGTCAACAGTGCATGTTGGAGATGAAAAGCAACAGCAAATGCAACAAGGACAATACCGCCAAGTAGTGGCCCCAGACCAAAAAGTAATGAGATGACAAACCCAGAAACATCTTCTGATCTGCAAGAACACACAAAATACAACCAACTATGAATCCTAGTGTGCAAAGTTCAACATATATGCTTGGTAAAAAAATACTCCCCTCTGTTTTTTTATAGGCTAGAGATGAGATTGTGCGGAGTTTTATGAGGTTTAATAAAATAAGATGTTAGTGGGGTAGATAAGGTTATTATTTTATTGAAAAGTAAAGTGGAGTCAGAGGGAGTGGAGACCATTGGAGGAGTGAGAAATGATAAAGTAAGAAAGAACGATGACATTATCGGGTAAAGATATATTGTTAAATTGTAAGAGATTTCCAAAAATGGAACTCTAGCTTATAAAAAAAGGGCAAAAATAGTAAATCTAGCATATTAAAAAAAAAAAAAAAAACAAACAAAACAGAGAGAGTACTAAATAACTTCACAATATTCTCCTTAGGGCAGACATGAAAGATACAGCAAAAGCTTCAAAAACTTGTGAAAAGATATAAAGTGGCTGAAAGTGCTCACTTGTAATTATTACTGAAATTTTGAAAGACATAGCCCAGTGCTTCCATAAATGCCACCGAGAGTGTAGCTGCTGATGCCACTTGAGATGATGAGGCTTCCTGTAAACATCAAAAGACAAGTAAACAGTCAATTCCCTACAATTTATCTTGAAATTCAGGAATCCAAGTAATGAAAACAAAAAGACAAAACCTTGAATGCATCTGGAAGAACTTCTGCAATAACCATCCAGATCATACATCCAGCAGCAAAGCCCGTACAGAAAGGTAAGAATTTGTTAAATGCATCAGCACACATAAATGCTGGCACTGCCACAATGGGCTGCAAATCAGACAGGTGGAAAAACAAATCAGTTTGCAGTTGTCATTCCTACAAGAAATACATTTGTCGTCACCTAAACTCATATCCTCTAAGCAATCCGAATAGGTTAACAAAAACCACAATCAACAGGCAACAAAAATCTTTAATTCATTCAATAGGTTTAAGAAAATGGGTTGCATTTGGAGAAGTTTAAAGCAGAACCGAGCCCATTTAAATTATAGATAAATCTGAAAAATGAACAAATGCAAAAGCTGAGGGGCAGTAAGTTGTATAAACCTAATTTCCCAATGAGGCAATGTTTCACTCAATCCTATGTGCTTGAATCTCGATCCAAGTCAACATCATAGAGCTGTATAGAGCTGTCAAATCCTCTTTCTACCTTTGCTGGATAACTCCTATATCATCCCTCGACCTATTATTTTCAATATCTCCGTCATTTACTCAACTTTGTGCTCTATATAATCCATGAGGAATTAATCACTCTGAGCACAAGGATTCTACAGCTCCACTGACAGGCATTGATACCTTACAATCCATGAGGAATTAATCACTCTGAGCACAAGGATTCTACAGCTCCACTGACAGGCATTTATACCTTACCTCAAAAAGATTTTTTTAGGGATTGCATAAAGGGGAAAGGGAAAAAAGGGAAGCAAGAGATACCTAAACTGGTTTTTAAAAAAAAACAAAAAATATATGTCATATTCTCAACAAATCCTAATTCTTTTTTACTGAAGGACAATTGCAGATAAAGCTTAATATACCTGGGGCAAGGATGTAAGCACGCTCCATAACATCGCATTTTGAGGAGAAACCCCCCTTGAGGCAAGCATCATACTTACAGCCAATCCTTCAGGTATATTGTGAACAGCAATAGCTAAAGTCACTAAAAGACCCTGAGATAACCCTCTAGAACCAGCAAACGAGACGCCAACACCAGCACCCTCCCCAAAAGCATGCAGAGTCATAATACCGATCACAAGAACAACTTTTGTTGCATCAGCACCTTTTATGTCCAGCATGCTTACCTCACCATACTGATCAAGCACCTGGATGAAAGACATTTATAGAAATTAGAGCAACAAGACATCAAACACATTATTAAATCCAAACATTGCATCCTGAATCCTAAAGCGAAAACTTCACAAAATGCTAGGCAATAGAAAGTATAATTAGTAAGACCATCTAGTTTCACTTTTATATAAAGTTGAATCATCTATGTTTGGTAAAAAAAAAAAAAAAAAAAAAAAAAAAACCCAAGCTCCTTTCTTGGACTCCAAAAAGGAAGGGAAAGAGAGCAGTCATAATCATGCACATTCACAAATGACAATCCTTTTTATTTTTTTATGAATAGGTACAAATGCGATCCTTTACTAATTGTAAAAACAATAGCTTAAAATGTTTTTTGTCTTCAATTGAAAACTTGAAACTAGCACTAGTAGTCTAGAAGGCATGCCACATTTTGATATGTAAGTGACTTTGCTTTGGTAACTTTAGTTTAGCCCAAAATACCATAACAAGTAACAACTCAATCCTCTCTCTGCCTGCTGACACTCTCAAGAATGCATATACCATTCTCTGATCTAACTTTATCATGATAATATAAATCAAGAGGTTCAATGTCAACTCACTAACTTCTGCTAGGCAATTTCTAAAGTTTAGTGTTCACTATTATCTTTCTATACTACCCAAGTATTTTTAGGTGTATGCCTTCCAAGATACCAGAATCACTCATCAGTAAGTGAATTTCAAATTGGATTCATTATGAGCTATCTTATTACTTCCATAAGAAAAACAAGGGATGGTAGGGTTGACTAGGCTATATTAATAACTAGTATGGGATAACTAAAGTGGAAATATCGTGGTACATAGTATGTTTCACAAATTGTGGGGAATCCCAAAGAATTATAATTGTATCACTGATTGTTTGGTTGAACAAAAGAATTATGTGGTACAATTCCCACATCCTAGAAAATGTTGTCTGGTTTTTCTTCCCATGATTTTTCATGTCAATTATTTTAGCATTGGGTTTCATTTGATATGTGACGAAAAAAGTATTTAACTGATTGTGAGAATTCCACAGCCCAATATCAATTCCCTCTATCAGGATCATCCAGGTAACATTCAAGGCCTCACTAAATCCTACCCCAATTTATCATTCTCATTCTTACAAATGAACAAATAAATTTCTTGATCCCAACAGTATACATTTCTTATATAGTAGGTTAATAGTTAAAAAAGAGAAGATTGGTGACTAAACAACACTGTAATCCTCTCCTGTTTCTCAGAAATGTTAATCGACAAAGATATCGAAGATATATCTCCACAAAGAAGCAAAATTTAAACCAGATTGTTTTTTATTTATTTTTCTCATGTAATGAAAGATTTCAAGCAGATACAAGCTAGACAGGAAAAAGAAGAGTACAATTCATGAAGGTAATGACAACATTAAAATAAGAATAACAAGTGGCTAATGAACTTTAACCAGAGAAATGAAAGGTCTCACCTTCTTACAGAGGGAAATAAAAATTCCACCAGACAATATCCCAATGACAACCCAATTTCCATGACCATACTCCTGGCCTTCCTGTATAAGGTCAAAGCTTGCAGCTAACATGACTCCAGCAGCCATTCCACTGCATAAACCCTCCCAGCGGGGATCAAGCTCTACAAAAAAGAACGGAATAGCCCCAAAACCACTGGCAGCGGCCATTGCTAGCGTAAACAATGCAACGGTTGTGACAGAAACTCTGCTGCTTCCACCTTTCCCGTCATTAGGATTGGTAGAAGTGGTCTCTGAACTAAAAACATCTTTAGCACCGGTGCCTTCCGTAACATCATTTCTTAATTCCTTTAATGGCGCAACTATTATCCTCTGACTATCAACCTTACTAGACTCTGCCTTGACACAAACACCGATGACCGCGAAAATTAAAAACAGTAAGAGGACCTGCTTAAACATTGATTTCATCCTGGCACAAGTCCTCCAAAAGATAAAGGTCGGAATTCACAAGTTCATGCCGGTATGAGGCGGAAAAAGTGCTGAATCAATATAATGAGTTTTTGGGCATCCATAATGAACAACTAACTAAAGAAAGCTCTCATCTTGAAGATCAATCATAGTGGACGTATGAATTGAAAAACCTAACAGCAAAAGAGACCCATCAGAATCACATTTTATAACAAATTGTTACTAAATGAACCGATTAAAGTACAAATTGAAATTACAAAAATAATGCAGCTGATTAAAGTTAGGGCCTTGAATTAAAAGCAATCATCTTTAGAACCCTAATATTAAGAATTGATACTAAATCAACTGCGATCAACCCAGAATCCCCAGGTCATAAAGACAGAATAACAATTTTAAAATATGAAAAAGAAGATCTTAAAATTGAATACCCCCAACAAAATAACATAAAAAGAGATGCAATTAAACACAAATTAGAATTAGAATGATAATAATAAGTATAAAGAAATACGTAAGAATGATGAGAATCACCTGAGAAAAAGAAAAAGTTGGAGAGCCAGAGAGAGGGGAAAGGGATGAAGAAGCGGGGTTTGTCAATTAACGCGTACATTCAAAGGAATTCACAATCCTCCATAAGAGTTTAATATTAATATTAATACTAATAATGATTATGATTTTAATACAGGCTCAACTTCCTTATTTATTTAATCCAAAAAAGAAAAGAAAAACGAAGAAAATAAAATAGCACGTTGGATTTGAAAGACCCAGAAAACCAACAACTGATGTCTGAGGTAAAAGACAGAAATTGGGACTTATTTCTATGCTCACCACTTTCGGTTCTTTTCTTTTTTTACTCGTACGCCCTATAATCCTATCATATATCAACTTCATACTATCAAATATCAATATTTAAGCAGTGTATTTTATATTTTCTAAACAATCCCAAAACTCGTTTTCAAAAAAAAAAAAAAAACAATCCCAAAACTTGATACGAGATAATAGTATACAATTGCAAAAACTTGATTTCTATAATTTGGATAAAAATTGAAATCCAATACATTCCAAAACTACTCCATCATTAGTAATTTGGATCAGATTTGACCGAAATTTTTGAATAGTTAGATTTTTGGATTGGATTGGATTGGATTGAATGAGTTTGTATCCCAATAAACCAAACAAACCAAATAATATTTAGAACTTTGAAATTTTTGTATAAGCTACTTGAATTGAATAACATAGAAAACACAATGAGCTATCCTAGCTAAAGTATTTTGACATCCCCATATAGGCCAAATTGTACATTATTTTTAATTGATTTATTACAAAAAAACTAAATATTTGGCCCAAAATAAATGAAACATTATTTTGATTATGAATTTGGATTGGATCAAACTATTGAAATCTAATTCGGACTAGATCAATTATATTTTGTAAAAGTTCGAATTTTTCAAAGCCAAATTGGAATTGGATTGGACCAAATCCAATACACACCACACACCGAATGAATACCCTACTTGATATGTATTTTTATATGAGATAAACCAAATGCCCCTTAAGTGAAGAATTGAATAGCAAGTAAGGGGACATGGTAGATTTGATCGCTTCACCAGCTATTCAAGTCAATTGAGTTCAATAAAAATTAATCAATTGTGCCAAGTCTTCCTCACTAGCCTACAAACTCAGTACTACAGAGTAGCAGTGTCATTTGTGTGTATGTGTTTATTTTTACTGGTCATAACCTTACGTGATTATTGGTCAACTAAAGCTTACCATGTATACAAACAAAAGCATGCATATGCTTAATTTTTGAAGTTTGAAGGATCTTGTCAACTGTAAAATTGGGTTGCATTTACTTAATGCTGCCAATATTCAACTTATATTTTTAGCCATCAAAGTATAGGCTATAGATGAAATGAACAAAATCGCATCACAAATTTAGACGTAGAATTATGAATGTAGTACGCTATAAATTAGGAGAAATGGTTCAATTGGAAACCACCCCCCCCCCCCCCAAAAGACCATGAATATTCATTATGTTCTACTTTCTCTAACCTTTGTTTATTGTTTCTTCTAAAAGACAAAAAAAAAAAAAAAAAAAAAGGAATAGAAAACAGTGCCAATAATTCCATGTTAGTACACAAGTCCACAAAACTAGCGTGGTGTAATGGTGGGCAGAACCGTGGTAGTAAGATCACTGCCTGATACATCGGAGGACATTCTTGCAAATTTGGAGACATTGGTCAAGGACGTGGTTGTGGTGGAAGAAGAGCTGCGGAATTGCAAAGAGGAGGTATTGGACATGATCATACTGTCAGGAACCAATTGGAGTAAATTTTCGAGCTCCCTCACCACATCCAACATGGAAGGTCTCATCTCTGGCTTATCTTGACAACACCTCAAAGCCAACTCTATAAATCTTTCTACACATTCAGAAGGATAGTCTCCCATTTTGCTGTCAATAATGTCAAATAAAGACCCTGACTTCTGTGCTGCATTAACCTATGTCCAATAAATATTTATCAGAAACTTATACTTTCTTTATATACAATTGATCATACTGTGATAAAATCAATAACTTACTATGGAGCAGTACACTAAAACATTCAAGTTTGCAGGGAGAATAATGTAAAGCATAAACATGCTAAAAAAAATGAATGAGCCCATTAGAGGAATAACATGCATCATAATACAAGGGTGAAATTACCTCACGGACAAGATTTTTTCCATGTGATATTGGTGGTACTCCTGTGAGAAGCTCCAGAAATACAACTCCCAGGCTGTACACATCGCTTTTATCTGTCAGTTGATGGGTCAAGAAGTATTCTGGGTCAAGGTATCCCTGCATATGCAATAATAAGAAATATTCAGCATTCAGAATATATTAGCAGCAACAAAATTGATTAATTCACAGAGTTCTGTTCTACACCACTTTCCACCATCCCCCCTGTTATCATCTTACCGACTCCTACGTTTTATTTACTTATTTATTTATTTTTACCTTGCAGAAACTGCCAATTATATGCTGGAAACAAGCAATTTTTGCATACATACAGGGCAATCTCATCAATTCAATGAGCATGACTTCCTAGTTCAAAGACAAGGTGTATTTTGTTTCTAATTCTTAAGCTGTATTGTATCTAGAGAATGTTGGTTTACATTTAGTTCCCCCATTTCCAAAAACATAAATAGAGAACAAACAACAATTAGAAACCAGTAAGAACAGTTTTGAAAGTTGACTATGGTTTCTGGCACACCTATTTGATGAATAAGTACTGTAAATTTTTGTTGCAAATTTCTGAAAAAAAAAGGGAGATAAATTGAAGGCCCTAGGCGAGGTTCTAACACAGTATGATATAGCCAAGTAAAGCAACAAGTGATGCAATGCTAAGATCAACCAAGTTTCAATTCCCCTCTGTTTAAGAGCGACAAATTCAACTACATCCCCAGCAATATCATATTTATACAAGCTGAGTAGGCTACAAAAGTCCCACATACATACTAGATTACAAAAACATCTCCAAACATGCCACACTAAAAAAGATAACAATATTAACTGAAATTCACTTACAGGTGTTCCCTTTACGATAGTGGATATATGATGAGGTACACTGCCTTCATCATCCATTACAGGAGCCAGATGTGATAGTCCAAAATCAGCAACTTTGGTAGTAAGATTGGCATCCAGAAGTATGTTACTGGCTTTAATATCCCTGTGAAATATTGGTGGGTTTGCTTCTGTATGCAAGTAAAGAACGCCCCTGGCTGCTCCTAATGCAATCCGTAACCTCATGACAAAATTGAGGGTCCTCTCACTTTTACCTGTCCCAATAGAAGCAGCTTATAGACATTCAGCTCAGAATTACAACACAAAGTTATCTATGAACATCAAACATAGGATTCAGAAATTATTTTGCAAATTTTATGCATTATATAATCTGACAGATGAAATTAGAGACAGAATAACTTCCGCAAATTGTCTAACTATGGGCACAGCAAACTAAAGTTTCTAGAAGCTCAAGCGTCATATTCTTACCTGAAAGCCAGTCCCTTAAAGTGCCATTTGGCATATACTCATAGACAAGCACCTGCATGTTTAATCAAAAGGATAGCTTAGGAGGTATATCCGTGTAGAGATTGTTTTCCAAGAGGCATACACAGAAAAAAAAAAAAAAATTGTTTGATGTAATGGTGATGCATGTAGAGAAAAATCAATTTTATACATTTTTTTCCCAAGCAAACAACTTTTGTTTACAGCAGTTTACCAGTGTTGGTCAGTTACAGATATAGGACTGATTGAAGATTTGAGCTAATTAGAAAGTAAGATCAGTAATTCACTAGTTACAGTGTCAGGCTCAGTAATTCACTGGTTGGACTACTGATCTAGTTCAAGTTCCAAAATAGTGTTTCAGGAATAGCTCAAAACGGTTCATTGGCTGAATTATTCGAGGAAGAGTGAAACTGCAGAAGTAAGGATGCCGACACAAAAGGCATTGAGCGTGTGTTAGAATTGCTAGTTGTTTGGTTGACACTAGACAGGTATAATACAGAGTGAAGTGAACTTCCTTAAAAGTAGCTACCTAAAAATGGAAATTGTTTGAATTCCTGAGTAACTTCTTTCATCCATCCAATGAAACAATGGTTTATTTGGATGTACTCAGAATCCCAACACCCCTCAGTACTTCAACTAGACAAGGGGAAAATAAAGGACACTGAAAGGAAAAAAGAAAACTTACTTGTTCATCAGCTTCACTACAGTATCCAACCAATGAAACTAAATTACGGTGATGTAACCTTGATAAAAATTGTATTTCTGTAAGAAATTCATGTTTTCCTTGCAGAGATCCATCCTCTGCTCGCTTAACAGCCACAACTGCACCGCCATTGGCTAAAATGCCTTTATAAACCTTTCCATATCCTCCTCGACCAACTTGAGCTGAGCTGTTAAAATGATTGGTGGCATGTAACAATTCTCGGAAGGTAAACTCTTTGACACCATCGATTTTCATGGAAATCTTTGAGGCTGCATTGTATCAATTACTATATTAGCAGAATTTTCCATAAAGGAGCATTCACATTGATTACTAGTGGAATCTACAATGAACTTACACATGTTTTTTCTAGATAATTGCCGGCTTCTGCTTTTCCTTCTAATAATGAGAATTGTGGCAAGAACGGATGCAATTGTAACACACATAATCAACCCTACCATAATGGCAGCCAAAACACTCTTACTAATGCCATTCTTACCAGTCTCAAGATTCACTACAAGAAAATATCCAAAAAAGTGTCAAAGTTAGAGACAGAAAGTCATCCTAGAATTCATAGCCTTAGTTGTCAAAGACTATACTATCCAGATTGAAGATGTGAATGAGAATATTAAAATAACAAATAAATTGAATCCTCCGACTGATTAAAGTTTGGGTATATACCATAGCTGTAAGGACCCAAAAGTGTGAAGTTCAGAAGCTCATATGGCCCAAATATATCACTTCCAGAAAAATTCCATGTTGTGTAAATATGTCTAATATGGTAAATCTCACTTTCATTGAAAGTATGATTACTGCCAAGAACCGGGAAAAGTTTCAAATACATCCGCAGACGAGGCCCCTCTTCCCATGCATATGAATCAATTAAAAGCTGATAGTGGTGTATTTTCAAGTTGTGGGTGATGTAAGACTCAAAAGAAAATTTGTAAGGAGGAAAATAAGTAAAACTTGGACTCTTTAATCTGTATCCTATCCTGATAGGAGCTGCACAAAAGCACTCTGGAGCTTCTGGAACGGGTTCAAAATATTGTTCAACAGGGCATGTGTTATAGCAAGCTGTCGGAGTTGTTCGGCCATCATATGTTCCGTTTCCACCACCATCAGAATCACAGAAAAGGTGTATGTTCTGTAGGTTTGCACGATTGCACACAGGATTTCCCCGAAGCCTGGAGAGAAACCCACATAATAATTAAAACTGAGTGTTTCCATGTATTTTATTGGGGCAGAGAAGGCAAGAAATTATATTTAGCTCAGAATTGATGAGATGGTTTGAGTGTTTGACAAAACTGGTAACATATCTTCATTACCAGACTAATATTTTGCTTTATTTATTTTAATCAACACTCATATTCACACATCCAGGGTGGTAATTAGAGGTAATGAAAGTGTATGAAGAAAAACACATACTTGGTAGTTGGTAGTGCAGATGCATTATTATAAAAACTCATATAAAGATTCAAAGTAAATCAAACACAGCCTAGCTATTTTCTTAAAGCCTTAAGCTGAAATGAGAATCAGAACACAATTTACATGTTCAAGCAATTTGCAAAACAGAAAATGACTCCACATATGCCATTATATTCTACTAATCTACAGACCATAACAATTGAAATTTATCAAGACAAAATGCACACACCTTAAGGTCACATTCTGTGGAGGATTCAGATCTCCAGAAATGTTGGAGAGCAAATTGTATCGAAGATCACTGCAATTCAAAAGGTATTAGAGAATTATGAGTATCATTCATCTATATAGACAGTAAATACATGTGAAGGTGGGATTCAGGCTTATGTAATGCATTTCAAATCTACAGTCGAGGTCATACACAGAGAGTCTAGCAGTAGCATTGAAGGACTTGTTGTGCCAAATGCCAGTAGGGATGGAGCCATTGATAGAATTGTTTAAAAGCCACCTGTGAAAATAAATTATACTTTCAGCCTTTCAGGTATAAAGCACTGTACCTGATTTATAATCAAATATCTCAAAAAGGCAGAGTACATAGCAGAAATATATCAGTCATCAGATAGTATTTCCTCATTCAGACAGTAGCCCATGGAAGTACATTAAAAAAAAAAAAAAAAACTCACAACATCTGGAGATCTGGAAGAAGGGAGAAACTTTCTGGAATTGATCCGTTCAGGTTGTTATGCGATAAATTACTGTAGATAGAACAATAAAGTAATTAACGCGTGTTCCTGAGAAATAATTGAGTAGTGTTTTAATAATACATTAAATTGATTATCTACATACATTGTAGTGACACTGTCTGATAGCTTGTTTGAAGGAATTGGTCCCGTTAACTTGTTCCAACTCAAATCTCTATAATTCAGATAGTGAAACAAGTTAAGAAAAAAAGGTCAATGTACATGTAAAAGACCACATTGAGTGTTGAAAGAATAAGCAAAGCAGAAGAACCAAGCCGGAACTTACATAAAGCTAAGATATGGCATCCGGCTTAGATCAGGAATTGCTCCACCCAAGCTACAGTTTCTCAGACTTCTGTTGATCAATAAATATAACAAATTTCTAGAGTCAAGCTCTTAAAGTAAAATGCAGATGGTTGGTTCATCTCTTGATTCTCTTCTACTTTAATTTTAAGCACTATTAATGTGTTAGAACTTAGATGAAAGCCAAATATAGGTGAAATTTCTCTAATGTGCTAAATCTTTGTTAAGCGGAATAAAAAATTTACTAACATGTAAGTCTTGTGGGTTTCTCCACCCTTTGCCATAGGATGGAGCCTCATACAGGATTTTATGTGTAGGATCATTGAAGACTTAATAAGCAAAAAGTCAATAGAAATATCAACAATTTGACCCTAGATTGCTGTGGCGTAGATTTAAGGCATTAGCTAATTACAATCCACTTAAACCTTCCACACAGCTGCACAACAAAGTCAATAGAAATATTAACAATTTTTATCTAGTGAGGATTGCTGAACTTTTCGCTGATATTCCCACAACAACCAGCACAACAGAAAGAGAGAATACATATTTCAACTTAAGCATTGTTGATGAGAAAACATCATACTGTGTGTGTCAAAGCTGAAAAGCACTTACAACTTTACCAATCTGGACAGATTTTGATATGATTTTGGAATCTCAGCACCATCAAAATGATTATTGTCGAGTTGGCTGCAAATGGTAATTGGAAAAACAGACTTTAGTGATCATATAGGTCGCATTTGTACACTAAAGAGAAGAGAAAGTGAGGTCATCAACAAATACTAAGACTTCATTGATCTCTTAACAGCCTTTTGATAATAACATAAATAATAACAGCAGCTTAATCATGGTTGCATGAACTTAAATGAGATGCACAAATCTTCATGGTATCAAAATAAAAAATAATTAGTTAAAATACTCATGGATATTTGTCAAGTGTCAGAAGTTAAATGACATTCTAGAATAGGTGGTATCACAAAGTTGAAAAGGGAAAGCACTGTCAGCAGAGCTCAAAAGAGAGTCCAAAGTACACCCAAAAAAAAAATGGTGATAAGAACTTCATGAGGAGCACTGTATTAGGAAATGTATTCCATTTAGCCATTTAATTAAGATGACAGATCTTGAGGATACAGTGGCTCAAGGTCCATAGCCTTACACATTAGACATTTGATCATTAGATGGAAACCAGTGATGTCCTTGTCTATTATTAAACATGCACATGATATTTCAGTTGCATTTATAAGAAGTTTGAGGATACTGACCCAAATAACCAACAACTAGTTACAAAGACAGCACAAGAAAAAAAAAAAGCAACTATAAATAGTATCAGTGGCTTAGTGCAGGGATAACATACAGTATCTCCAGATGTGCTAAAGCTGAGTACTCAGGAGGGAGGTTTCCAGACAAATTATTGTTATCCAACAACCTGCAAAAAGGTCATTGCATAACTTTAATGATTTGCGATCTTTTAATATAGTAATATATAGATATTAAAAAAACAGTAAAACCTTTGATTTTACAAGTATTACTGATATCTACTCACAAGTGAGCAATTTTTGGTAATTGGGAAAACTCAGGAGGAAGGAGGCCGCTAAATGAGTTATTGTTCAAATGGCTGCAAATACAAATGTGATCAGAAATTTAATAGTTAACAATATAACCATAAAGGAAAATTCAATTAGCGTCAAGTATAAAGCTGAAAGTTCAACTCACAAGTGTTTAGCATTGACCATGTTGGCTAAGGACTTGGGCACTGCGCCAGATAAATTATTTTCATCTAGTTGGAGTCTGTCTAGATTTACCAGAAAGCCAAGTTCATCAGGAACAGAACCTGAAAATTGGTTTCCATTCAAAAGCCTGAATCACAGAAATAATACATTACATTAGTATGGAAAATACTTAGTATTTAACAATTATCTTGTATACAACAATTTTAGTCACCCCGAAACACTTAAAAGTCACTCTTTAACAAAGTAAGTTGGGTTTTATGAGAGATTTATGAGAAACTATAATTAAGGTTTAGAACTTACAAATGTGTCAAAGATGAGAGATTTCCTATCTCCTTAGGAATGGTGCCAGTTAATTTATTCCACATGAGATCTCTTAATTGATTGAAAACAAAAGACCGTGTAAGTAAGAGATTAACTTAAAAGTAGTCAATATATAATTGTTGAATAAAATTAGTCGCAGACTCACAGTATCTGCATATGAGTGAAGTTGCCAACTTCAGGTGCCAAGATTCCTGAGAGATTCATGTTCAGTAGTTGACTGCAAGCATTATTTTACCAGACTTAGCACAGAAAGGATTTATTATAAGTAAGATAGATACAAGGAATCAAATTAATGAATTACATACATCTCTCGGACATGAAAAAATCCGTCTGTCTGAAGTTTACGGAAGCATAAAACACCATTCCAGTGAGAAGTACAGGGATCTCCCTTTTTCCAGTTAACAAGGTGTTTCATAGGATCAATCAGTTTGCTTTTGATCGACTTTAAGGCCGCAACTGCATGGGTTACATTACAGAAGCAAATGTTAATACATCACTCTGATTTTAATAATAGAATAAAGATAGAAAGAAAAACGGTACCTTCATGAGGATGAGTAGATTGTGCAGAGGCATAAATTGGATTGAAAATACACAATATGACGAAGAATTGAATCGCAAGTCTCATTCCAAGCAATTAAATTTCACAAGAAAAGGGTTCTGAATCAGATAATACCTGAAATTTCTTTTACAGCAACAGACTAAGTTTTAGAGAAACACACAGATAGAAAAGCAATGCAAGGAAGAGTCATCCTTGGCTTGAATTTTCAAAGCTCACTGTCCCTGTCCCTGTCCTTGTCCCAATCAATATCTGATATATATATGCGAGTCCCAAAATCAATATCTGAAGCTGGCGCGTTCAATTTAAGTTGAACTTTCTACTGTATCTCATGAATACTAGTATAAATATTATACATACGACCAATTAATATTTGAATCAAAAAATGAAGAGAGAGATGATGGGTTGATGAGATTAGGTGGTGAAAGAGAAAATAAAAATGAAATCCCAGAAGCATCGTTTGCTTTCCGAAACAAGTAATAGTATAAAACTAATACACTCACAAACTATAATTAAGTAATAAAAAGATAAGAGTAGTTGATACCAATATTAATTTTGTATTAATAAGTAAATCCAAGATAAGATGGCGACATTCATTTCTTGCTTCTTCCTAGCTACTTACATAACAACACTACCTGCAGGTAAGGTTCTTACAATCAGTCACAGAGTCAAATAAATATAATTAATTTTTCTCCTTTTTATTTAATACTCAATTTATTAATCATTACTGACCCTTCTGCCAGTTGCCCATGCATGCATTTTGTCCTTTTCCGTACAACCCAATTCAGCCGCCACTTATGAACGCCACCTTTTTAATATATATACTCTCTGGGAAAAACAAAGCTAGATTTTCCCAGCAAAGTTATTAAACTTATGTCTTGAAGACCATGTAAGTCAGAACACGACATCTGATTTGGGACGAAAGGAGAAGTTGGTTATGAACCGATAAGTGGGAACAGCCGTACATACATCAACAATCAACATCTAACATCAATGTATCTGGTACTCCGTAGGATATTTATCTGTAGTCATAAATACTACAGAGGATGGTGCTACATGAGTGAGGTGGTGCATCTACAGTAACACCCAACATCAGTTGTCAATCCCTAAGATTCTATCTCAACCCAACATTCTCATCAAGTCATTATCATATACAGAAAATATTTGGCTCAACATTAATCAGCCACTAAGCTAGCTCTACTGTAATTTTATGATCCAGAGCAAACCCAGCTCACAAACGACGATATTAGTGATAAACAATTCGGAAGAAACACATACACAGATACCGCCAGTAGCTCAAAATATATACTCGCTATATATATGTATACTATATAAGTTCATATTCTACCTCTTTACAAACGTTGCTCAATACTGATCTGATGATATACCTACCATTTTTTACTAATAGCCAAAAGGGGTAAGGAACAAAAGAGATGTGCCTTTCCTTGCACTGTCAGATCAAACCACATCTTATGACAATATGCAACTTAACTTACTAATCCATACTACAAAAAAATTGACCCGACCTTTCTGGTCTTTTTCTTTGCAGGGGCATCCTTATTCTCTGCTTTTCTCTTCAAGTCCGACTTCAAAGCCTTGGATTTGTTCACAAGAGTCTTACCATTTCCCCGCTCATTTTTGTCACCACCAATGTTAGTTAATTGTTTGGCTTCATCTTCAGCTTTAGCTTTCAATCTCTCTACAACAAAATACTTCAACCTCCGTAAGGTGGATTCACTCTGCAAAGTGCCAATCAAACATCACCATCAATTCCATGAAAACTATCCATTTAGAGAGATACATTGCCCTTATTCTCCCCATGAATCATTGTCAATTACCTGAGCATCTATGTCGAGGTCCACCTCTTCTTCTGTTACTTGGAAGGACGGATTTCCCTGAGCAAGAATCTCCAAAGCTTTTGTTAAATCATCCGCAGATAGCTTTGTCAGAGCTCTTCCAAGTTCTCTTTTCTGCATTGTTGACATTCTCCTGAAATTCCATGTTCTCATCGTTAACATATCAATCCAAATAAGGAAATCAAACAGAACATAACCAACTCTTCACTGATGCAAACACGTGAAATTTATGCCACACGTGAGAGGGAAGGGACAACCATGGCTGAACAAATGAGAGTACAGGACTAAACCACCACATAGTACAGGTTCATAAATTGACTGACCTGCACCTTTGGAGCATGAGTTCTCTAAGTTCATTTAGGCGCTTATCAACCTTGTAAAGCTGCACACACAGAAAATGGGAAAAAGAGCAAAATGCAGCACATTAATTATGAAAATTTGAGTCTGGTGAACAAATACGTGCATGTAAGTGAGATAACTACAAGAGCTTCCCACCTCACAGCTTACGTCCTTTGCCATCTGAGCATGATAAGTCTGTTTCAAACCTGCCTCTTCATCTGTTCTTTCTTCCTGTACAAGCAAAATCGGAAACATATATCAATCAATCAATCGGAAACATACACCGATTAAAATGATTATACGTAACAGCTTAAAAAAAGTTAATGGGCTGTGAATGAAGCAAGTGGTAACTCAAACATGAAGCTACAACTTTACCTCTTGCATGATTTTTGGCAAAAGTACGAGCCACTTTCCCTCAAATTTTGCCAGTAGAGTTTTGGCTGTCACATGAGCATCACTCCTTTCATCATTACATTTCATAGCATTCTTCAAAATCCACCTCACATCAGCGTAAATCTCTCGAACATGCTTGTAGCCATTATCACCCTTATCTTCCATTCGCTTCTTTATAGAGTTGAAATCCCTGGGCTTTCCAATAACTGACTAAAAAAGGAAATGACATGAAAAGACACTGGTAAGTCAGGACCTGTCCTTCAAATTAAGTATTTCTATACAACTTGTCTAAGATATTTAGCAAAAAAACAGAAATGTCAGGAATCCAATTTTCAGTTCTATACCTCAGAGGAATCATGTAAACCTAGATCATTCACATCTACAGAATCCAGAGAAGAGCATACATCTTTCTTTTGAGTAATCTGGAAAGAAAAACAAAGGATCCGTGAGGTAGAAAACTATATACTAGTATATAATACAATAGTTTGCAAGCATGTGCAAGTGAAAAGGTTTAACAGCAAGAAATGCCACTACAGTATGGTTTATCTGCAATAGAATTTACATAGTAGAAAAGAACTAAAGCACAAGTATCCCTGCAGATTTTGAGGCTGATAGTTAACTGGGGTTGGTAGCATAAGTAGACAAGCACACTAATGGAAAATTAAATACAGCAAATGATTTACTTATTCTTATGTTTCTCCGAATGTAAAACAAATAAACAAAACGGCGAATGGAGCTTTAATTGAACAGGTAATATTAGAACTTCACAATACCAATCTAAAGACGCAATTAAAAAGGGAGCTCGGTTATTCACATGATGATGGTGGACATTAAGCATGATACCTGATTCAAAATAACACCAAATTGCCTGATGAGGTCCTGCATTCTCTTAGCTTTGGAATCGGAATGATTTAGCCTAGTTGTAACATGTCTCCCTTTATCTTTATAATCCCTTGATAGATTGTTTCTAGAGTCTATAATTTGCTTTTTACTGTTGTTGGAGTAGAATTGTTCAATCTCATTTATTTTTTGCTCTAGCTGCAAGTAATTTCAGTGTTATTTCAAAAGCATATTGCAAGCAAATATTGTAATTACACATATTAAAAAAAAAAAAAAAAAAGTTGAATATCAAACAAAATATACAGAATTTAACAAGTAAGATTCGTGATCAAATGCCTACAATTAATGACATGAAAGAATTAATGGAATGATAATGAAGCGGAAATTAGACAAAGAAAAATGAATAGAATATTTATTAGTAAATAAAAGAATTAACCTTGTCAACTTGAAAAGAAACCTGATTCACATGATTTTTGAAATCTTTGAGTTGGTCATCAACATTCACATTTGCAGGAACCTGAGACCCAGAATTGTCAATTCATGCAATTGATCATAGTGAGTCAAAATTACAAGTTTATTAATTTCTGATTATCATAAGTGAACAATAGCATATCAAGAAGGTGAACTGCAAACGATAGATAGATTAAAAGAAAACCAAAAACTTAGAATCACTGGAGACTATGAATGAATGAATCAAAAGCAAGAAGATGTAAATTATTCAAAGAAATTACAGAACAAATTGTACCTTGAAAGTAGCGGGGGGTTCTACCCCTTTCCTCGAGATACCACATCATCACAGATGTTTCTTTCTTTTTATTTTTTTTTTTTTTATTTTTTTTTTCCCAAAAGTTAAAGAATGATAAACCCTATTTTACAAAGAAATAACAAATTGTTACACCTAGCTCATACTCCTACTATGGAGTGAATATCTTTATTACGGTGTGTTGCATTTAATTACTTTACTCATCATAATCTCTTCTTATAGATTTCTAAACACAATAGTATTTTTTTTTTTTTTTGTAAATATATAATCAACGAAAAACTTTATTTGACTTTTAGCGTTTTCTTGGTATTTGATAAAGAGCTATATAAAACAGTGTTATTAAACGTAATAAGTCAATAAAGACAACCATTTCAGTCTTTGTCCCCTTTAGTTAGTACCATATGACTCATAAAACTATCACAAAAGTGGGGCTCATGGTGCCAAAAAAAAGACTAGAAGAGTGCTTACTAATTACAAAAAGCTAATTACAACATGTTAGATAAAATAACTAATGCAAACAATTATAGGCCAAGACTCCAAGAGTTATTTAGAAGAGGGACTACAATTGATATTGATTGTTGGAATTCAACCATTCAAGATAAAGATAATGAAATTATCTCAAGAATTCTCTTCATCCCAAAATTACAAAACAACGATACACCCACTCAAACATTTATACTCCCTCCGTGTTTTTATAAGTGTTACAATTTGACCAGCACATCCCTCCGTGTTTTTATAAGTGTTACAGTTTGACCAGCACATCCCTCCGTGTTTTTATAAGTGTTACATTTTGACCAGCACATCCCTCCGTGTTTTTATATGTGTTACAGTTTGACCAACACATATTTTTAGGTATGTGGGGTAGTTGGAGTAATAAAAAATTGTAAAAAAAAGATAGTGCGGTTAAATAGTTGTTAACCCCAAGTAATGAATGTGAGAGGAGAGATATAATAATAATAATAATTAAAAAAAAAGTAATAGTGGGTTTAGGTGAGCACCATGAGTTGAAAGATATAATACTACGTATTTTAATGTAGCTTTTTGTCAAAAAAGATAGTGTAACACTTATTAAAATGCGACCGAATTTAGTTAGTATAACACTTAAAAAAACACGGAGGGAGTATGAAACAATGAAGAAAAAAAAATTGTCATGCTATATTTATGTATTTGGATTTTTAAATTTTCTCCATTTTTTTTTTATTTTAGTTCTTGTTTGGATTTGTTAAATTGTTTTCATTAATTGTCAATATTAAATATTGTATGACTTCAAACAAAAAAATTAGTGTACTTGGGGTAAAAAATTAAAAAATTCCGTATTAAAATTGGTGTTTGAAGTCTTAAAAAATGGCGTTGATGTAATGTGGGAGGTTATTGCGTGATCCTAATTGTAGGTTCAATGTGGTGGACTCGTGGTCACGTTTCTCACTTTTATCCGCAGCCCAATTGCCCCAACCAAATGCATACTATGGCCTATGGGCTGCTTGTTGAGTTGTTGCATACATGAAGTTAGTCCTGGAACTTTCTTTGATATACACATTTGTAATCTCGTACAGAACTTTAACCAAAACTTGACACCAATGAAGAACAGAACATTTTTACACATCGATTACTACCACAGCCTAGTTCAGCAAAGTGCTCATTGTCTCACATTTCACCTTCATCTTCCATGAACTTTTACTTGGGGTGCCAGAACATTCCCTTGATTCCCTCTGGATCTGGTTCAAATCCTAAATTTTGATAGAAGTCAACAACTGCAATGAACATATATATGTCAATGTCAGAATTCGTTTATTTTGCTGAAAATAAGTCAGATACAAGCATACAACACGAACAATTTTCCGAAGAAGACTTGAAAGAGGGAAGAACAAATTATCCTTGTTTCACACGACATCTTCATGTGAAACCACTTTCATAGACGCTTAGCTTGTCATTGTGGATAGTAAATGCATATCTTTTCAGTGTCTATGTAATAAAAATCTTACCTTTACTATCTGCAAAGAGAGAAATGTTGCCAATATCCCTCTGTAACAGAGCCCTTATCATCTTCTCCACAAGAGCCTTTCCAAGCCCTTGACCCTACATCAGAACCAGATGGTGTACTGTTATGCACCTAATATACAGTGTCCAGCTTCCGTCAGGAAACACACACACACACACACACAAACAAGCAGTGGCACAACAAATTTGTCCGCCACACATCAAGGAAGGTTATGCAAACTGGTTCAGGCTCAAGGAAACTAGTGCTATTTGATAACGATACCCACCCCGCCCCAGCCTTACAGATAAAGAGATTAAGGTTTTTGCAATGAAAATGCATGATCTGATAAAGTGATAAGTAAAAACATAGACCTGGTCACTCAGAATCTTGCACATATTAGAGCACTAACTTGCAGCAAAGCTAAATGTCCAGATAAATCGCATGCATAAACCTAGGCTGACATTCTGAGACTTCTCTGAGGACCTCATATGCAAATGGCAAGACAAGCTATACTCCAGTAACACAAACAACTAATTCAGTAGCATACTATAAAATACAATAATAAATAAATAAAAAATTAAAAAAAAAGGCACAAACTTTATTGCACAAGCTATGCATGATCCTACTTCTATGTTCTGCAAATACATGCTTAATCCAAAATAAAATCGTAGTGAATTTCCCTAGTCAAATGTTCAAATTTTATCTTAATTTTGATGACAATATATAACTACGAAGTATAAATTTTAATTGACTAGTTGGAAAATTGCAACCTAAGATCAACAAGTTTAGTTTAGGTCACCTACAGAATTTTTTTCAAAAAAAAAAAAATTGTTTGAGCAAACAATAGTCAAAGATGAATTTTGCAGAACGCCAGAACTCAAGAAGTTAACCATGACAGTTGACTTGTATTCAAGTTTGATACAGCTTGTACAAAATTGCTTACATTCACAGTTTTGCTCTTTTAGTCATATAAGACGGGAGAGGGATATGTTAGCAAACTATGCACAGCTTCATCCTCTTGATGATTTGGTTACACATATAGTATATAGCTTGAGAATTTTACAGAGATAACCTGTGATGTAGCTAGTCAAGTCAGAAACATTTGTTATCTACAAAATTCTCCCCTTGTTGTTGGTGATCAATATGTTATAGATAATCAGAAAGCACCTAGCTTCACTAAAATTTGAAAATTGAACACCCTTCCAACTCAACCTTTCCCATAGTAGTCTAAATGTATGCAGATAACCACATTAATAAATAAATCTCAATTAATCTCCAGTTAAAAGATAACCTGGTAAGATGGATCAACAAGAACATCCCAAATTGTAGCATTGAAGGCATGATCAGATGTAGCACGAGCCATTCCAATGAGCGTCTTGTAGTCATCACCTTCTGTTAGATAACTTTGCACAATAGAATAAGATGTCCATCATTTACTTATACAAAGAAGTGGGATAGAGTAAGGGTATTGGGGGAATTATGCACAATCTCCACCCAATATATAGCCAACTTTAGGCAGGGTCACATTGTTAGAAATTTGAGATGCATCTACAAATTACCTGCATCAGGTGATTTACGAACAGAATGCAGTGTGGCAACCATGTAACTATTTTTCAAAGCTGCACCAAGTTTTGAGAGTGGCCTACGGGGCCAACCTACCTGTCGAGGTGATAGAGTACGGTCAAGCAGTGAATATAATCAATAGATAGTTTAATGGTAGCCAGACAAAACATACTCACTCCCTGACAATGACTACTTTTCTTTTGTGTTTAGCTATAATCCATCCCTCTTGGAAATTTTTAAGAAAAGCCCCACAATCACCTTATCACATAATGCCTGTAGGTCATACAAATCAACATCTCCACCAGAAGAAAAGATTATTTGTTCAACAGACCCATCTGTTTGAGATTTTTCAGCAAGCACAAATTCTTCAGGCAAAGGCTCCTCCTCTTCTTCAGTAGGAATTGTTGGTTCAATAACTTGTGTTGTATTGTTTTTCAAGATTCTGTAACAGCAAGCATGTTATCTACTATTCAGATTCCATTAAAGAAGACATAACTTAAGCATTAAGGGAGTAGGTATCACACCATCTCCAATCACTCGGCAATACAATTTACTCCCTCCATCAGTCCATCTCCAAATAGAAGTCTCATTTCGTCCACAAATCATGTCCTTATATAAAAGTCTCAATTCACCTTTATCTATTCACTTAAAATCGACAAAGCCCTACTATCATCTTTTTCTATCCATATTTGACCAACTAAGCCCCCCTATCTATCCACCTATAACCAACCAAGCCTCACTATTATACACCTTTCTAACAATGTGAGCAAAAGGCAAATGAAAATGTTATTTGGGGGCTGGGGGAAGGGGGGGGGGATAGTTTAAAGAAATACCTTTCTGAAAGAGTTCATTAAAAGTTGCAATTTTATGCAAAAACTAAATGTTATGCGTGTATATAACAATTTGACAAAACATATATGCTCCTAATATCTTGTTATTTTGGATGGTTATCAATGTGCTTTTAGGGTATATGCTACTAGTAAAAGTATTAAGTTGAAAAGGGAGAAACATTGTAGTAGATTAGGAGTATTATCTAAGAAGGAAATGTGCATGAGGGTTTCCTTAATTGGAGTAATTCCAAAGTGATCTCACTTACTTGAGTGTTTGTACAACACAGGTGTTTCTCATCTAATTAGGTGTTAAGAGAAGGTCTTTCCTCTTCCTCTATTAATAAAAAACTCAACATTTTTAAAAAACAAACACTAGACCCAAGAGCAAGAAGCTGGTAAAAAGAGCTAATAATGGAACAATAATATGGTTCCATAAGAGTCTTAGAGCACAATAGTAGCACCTAGGGACATATATTTTCTTCATGGGCCTCCCTCATCTTCTATTGTCGCGCATCGCGTCATTTAAACCAACCTTAGTGTATGCATTATTATCTATCCAATATACATATCCTACTCCAAATAAAAACTAGTAATTCATTTAATCCTTTGTTAGTCTGATCAAACATTCAACATTACAGTACATTATAATCTGTGTTTCTAATTGAAAGGGCTTCAGAAAGAATGAAATTGAGAAGGAAAAGAACATACCCAGATCGAATGGATTCCCAAAAACTAGCCTTGAGCTTGAGGGTACAAAATCTAAGCTTTTTGGTTCCTGCAGTTTGAGATGAAGAATCAATAAGTTGAATAAGTTAAATTAATCAACCAAATAGTTGGAGAAATAACCTGTAGTAGAGAATCCATAATAATAAATGGGATTGGGACTGAGACTGAGACTGAGATGAGAGAAGAAGAGTTGTTGAGATTGATTAAGAGCAGGAGCCCTGCAACAAGATTAGATGAAGAAGAGAAAGGGCTAATTAGATGAAGTACACAACAAAATAGAAAAGAGAAGAAAACGCATAATACCGAGAAGAAAGAGAAAGGGCAATTGAAGAAGAAGCGTGCATAATTGCCGAATTGTTGATTGTTTTTTAAATCCAAAGAATTGTTGAATGTTGAATGTTGAATGTTGAGGAAAATAACAGTGACTACAGAGCTACTGCGGTAGTGTCTGTGTGTCTGTGTGCCACATCGCGCACGCTTTCCTTCATTCAATCCTGTTACTCACCCATCCTCAATTCTTCATTACTCAACCAGGAGCCCAGGACCCTACATCCTTTTTTTTTCTTTTCTTTTTTTCTTCTTCTTTTGTATTCCAAAATTGACCTTTTTGCATAACCCTTTAGAATGTGAGAATAAAGGTCCGTTCTCATACGTTAATTTCAGTTCAGTTCAGTTCAGCCCAACTCTTAATTTCCTTCTCTTTTAAAATATTCATTTCAGCTTAGCTCAGCTCAGTTCAGTTCAATTCAGTCGATTTCAGTCTATTAGAACAGACCCTAAGACTACGTTCTTTTGGACTTATTTTTATTTTAGTTGGTTTCAACATTTCATTTAATTTTACTCCTTAGTTGAGAGTAAGGAATAGCTCAAGTGGTTAGAGTATCCCTTTCGATTCCAAGAGATCTTAGGACCGATTCTCATTGTTTAATTCATTTTAGTTCAATTCAGTTTTATCATTTCAGTTTAAATAGTCCAAAAGAACAAGGTAAGAATTTTGAGGACTAGTGTTGTCTATATAGGTAAATTGAAATTCAACTTATCTAAAGTTTCTCATATGTTATTAGGTAAATTGAAATTCAACTTATCTAAAGTTTCTCATATGTTATTTAAACTGATATAGTGGTTTTTTTTTGAAACTAATAAAGATTATTGAAAAGCTTAACACTCATTTCAAGATCTTATTTAAGTTGAGATGTGTTTTATGATTACCTATAACTTTATTTTGCCACCACTGATATGAGTTATTTTGTGACAATTGTTCCAAGGGTAACACAAACCTTCTAGCACCCTATTGGAAAGGTGGAATTATATTTCAAGAATAACTATTCATATTCCTAAGGAATAGTTTTATTTTTTTTAAAGCTCAATATGTTTCTCTAATTATTAAAAAAAAAAAAAAAGAGTTGTATGTGACCAAAGCCATTCAAATTTGCCTGATCGTTTTGTAAAAAATAAAAAAAAAATACCTGATCGTTTTGTCAAAAAAAAAAAAAAAAAAAAAAAAATTTGCCTGGTCGAGCTCAAGAGTGACATTCTTCGCTTTGCAATACAACTCCAACAGAGTATGTGATGAACATTTTGCTCTCAATTGAACATACAAATATACAATACAATATAGTATAAAGGAAATATCACACATATAATTGTACGTTCTTTTACTATAATTTTTTGATTTTTTTTAGTATCATAATTAACAATCATGCATGCATCATATATTCATATGCCTAAGTGTAAGATCTTAGCTTTAGCAAATTACAACTTCATATGGGATATGACAAACATTAACTTGTAATTCTCATCTCAGCATATTCTTTGGCAATTAAAATGAAAAATAGAAATAGCCTAATAGACTTATAGACATGACAATTAACAAGGCGCTATAAGTTGACGAGTAAACCCAAAATAAAAGTAAGAATCTTGGTCTTGGAGATTACTTAGCTTGTTCATTCTAATTAGATGAGAGGCAATAGAGTGATTTATTGGGATCCTAAAAAGGTAGAGAAGAAGGGAAGGCGTGAGATTAAGGAAGGAATTTTTTGGATCATCCCTAAAAATGTAAGGAAAAAAAATGGTTGTTTGGTGATCCAGTCAACAACAAAAGAGTAAAAATAATTATCCATAAAGATTAAAGGGACAATACATGTGTACTTTCCCATTCCCATACCCTTAAATATTATAAGACATCCCCACAAACACACCCAATTATTCACTTTCACTATTATTTTCTTGAGTTCCGGAGCTCCCTCTCCCTACCTTCCCACCTTTGTCCCCACTCTCCATTCCTTGCCTTTTTCCTTTTCCTAACATCATTTGAAATAAAATTAGAATTTTTGTCTGATTAATTTTATATACAACATACAAGATTTGATTATTATTTCATTTTCCGTGCTAGATGATAAATTATCAATTATTTTTAGGGGAACATCCTAAGAGACTGTTACATAATTTTCCGTTTGTTTTAAAGATGATTTATAATTGATGACACATTGTCGTTGAGTTGACACTTTAAGATTTCTCCCTATAGTTGTAAAACGGAATATGTAAAGATGATTTAAAACCGATGATATATTGTGGTAGGGGCACAAACTCTAAGCTGTAGCTAAAAGTAAAATTTGAATGTGAATTGAGAGAAAGAAGCATGTGGTGGGGAGGGTGATAAATGAGGCAATAAATAGGATAATAATGGGGATGTAATTGTGAGACAAAAAGCTTCCAAAGTGAAATCAAAAAAAGAGAAAGCAAAAGCAGCAGTCAGTCAGACAGAGACTCAAGATTGAAGAATTGAAGCTCCAGAGTCCAGAACATACAAACAAAGATTTTCCCATCATTTCCTCTTTCTTTTCAATACTAGCTACAATTTAGCCTAAAGAAGAAGATAATGAGTGTGAAATGATTGAGGAAAAAAAATAGAGAGAAATTATTACTTGTATTAAAGATAGAGAAAACTCAAACAATGGTAGCAGAAGATAAACACCAACTCTCTACCCATCCTTTACCTGATTCCAAGCTCTGCACTACTTTGAATAACCGGTAATTTTCTCATATGATGAATTTTGATCTCAACAATAATATTATTACTGTATTCATGGTCATGCCGACATGTATGTTATGATTACAGCACTCATGATATTCTTTCATTGTTGCTAGCAGCATCTTTCAGGACGTTGCTGGGGACATTACTGTTGTCGTCGATGGCGAATCCTTTCTACTGCACAAGGTCAATTCTCCTAGTATCAATTCTTTTGTTTCAGCTTGCTATCTATCTAGAGGAATATTACAGTATTACTATCTGTCAAATGTCAATTACTGTATTCATGTACCGATGACTGTACTGTTTGGTTTGTGGATTTATATTATAGTTTCCCCTAGTCACTCGAAGTGGCAAAATCAGAAAAATGGTTGCAGATGCCAAGGATTCCAAGGTCTCCAAGTTGGAGCTTCACAACCTACCAGGGGGTTCTCAAGCATTCGAGCTCGCTGCCAAGTTCTGCTACGGCATGAACTTTGAGATTACAGCAGGTAATGTGGCCTACTTGCGCTGTGCTGCTGAGTACTTGGAAATGACTGAAGACTATCAGCAAGAGAACCTAATTGTAAGAACAGAAGCTTATCTTGATGAGGTGGTTGTTCAGAGTATTGAGAAATCTGTAGAAGTTCTCTCTGCCTGTGAGTCCCTACCTATTTCCATGGTTGAAGAGGTGGGAATTCCAAGCAGATGTGTGAATGCCATTGCTGCCAACGCGTGCAGAGAGCAGCTGGCTTCGGGTTTTTCACATGTAAGTTGCCATGAGGATGACTCGGCAGAATTAAAAGAAGCTGCAGGCTACATTGAATGGTGGGTTGAAGATCTGTCTGTACTCAGGATAGATTTCTATCAGCAGGTCATCTCAGCTATGGCGAAAGCAGGTGTTGATACTTGCAGTATCATCGCGTCTTTGATGCATTACGCACAAGAATGGTTAAAGGGCATTGGAAAACTTCAGATATGGAATCCAGCAAGGTTAAGACCACATTGTGGCACACAAGAGCATGACCAGAAGGTGATTATTGAGGCCCTTGTCGATCTTCTTCCAACAGAGAAATCGAAATCTTCACCAATTCCCCTTAGTTTCCTGTTTGGTTTGTTAAGGATGGCAATCATAGTGGATGCCAACATCTCCTGCAGGGTTGAGCTGGAGAGGCAGGTTGGTTGTCGGCTAGAAATGGTGTCTCTTGATGATCTGCTTATCCCGTCTGTTCACAAGGGAGATTCGTTGTTTGATGTTGACACAGTCTGCAGAATACTGGCAAACTTCCTTCAGCGGATGGAGGACGAAGAAACTACTGAAGATCAAAGTGGGTATGAATCACAAGGTTTTGGCTCTCCCACTCATGGTTCTCTATTGAAGGTTGGACGTCTTATTGATGCATATCTAGCAGAAATTGCCCCTGATCCTTACCTGTCCCTGCAAAAATTCACTGCTATTATTGAGGCTTTGCCGGATTATGCCCGAGTCATTGATGATGGGCTTTACAGAGCACTTGACATCTATCTCAAGGTACTTTAGATTACAAAACTGATACATATATATTTATTTTCACCTCTGGACCTGCCAATTAATAATTTGCTTGTGCAGGCTCACCCAATGATATCTGAAGATGAGCGCAATAAGTTGTGCAAATACATTGACTGCCAAAAGCTCTCAAATGAAGCTTGCAACCATGCTGCACAGAATGATCGGCTCCCAGTTCAAATGACAGTGAGAGTTCTCTATTTTGAGCAGCTTCGATTGAAGAATAGCATGTCAGGAAGTTCAGGAGATGCACTGTTCTCCCAAAAAATTAGCAGCGGCATCCCAAGTGCTGCAATGTCCCCCAGAGATACGTATGCATCCTTGAGGAGGGAGAACCGAGAACTGAAGCTTGAGATCTCAAGGTTGAGAATGAGGCTCAATGATTTGGAGAAGGAGCAGACTTGCATGAAACAAGATATGTTGGGCAAGTCAGGAAATGGTAAAACATTTTTAACTTCACTCTCAAAAGGAATAGGGAAGATTGGGATTTTCAGCACTCCAATGGGAAACAAGCGACAAAAATCAGGAAGGAAAGGAAAAACTGCACGTAGTCGAAGGCACTCCGTTTCTTAGGATAATCAGATGGATCCAGAAGCTGCCTCCAGGTGGAATACAGTAAACAGAAGATAAAGACATGGAACTCAAGAAAACATGGTGATATATCAGGTCAAATTCTATCTATGATAGTACTATAATTTAGCATATATGATAAATTCTTGAGCACTTTACCTTCTTACTGCAGCTTCTGTATCCAAAATGCTAAGGCTTTTGCATCCTAATAAACACCAACAGACCTTTGACCTCCAAAAACATGAGCATGTATGGTATATACATCAACAAATTTGTAATTGTCATGATTTACAGAAGGGAAAGCATGCTTAAGTACCTATTTTTGTCTTCCCTATGTGTTCGAGCCTTGGAGACAAACCGGTATTTGATCATACTTTCCTGCTTCTGAAACAGAGATGAGCGAGGCACAAATCTTTCAACAAAATAGTGTATTAATACTGAAGTATTGTATTTATTTCGAATGCTCCAATATCTTGCCTCCTATATATGTGCTTATCATCAATAGACTAAAAAAATGAATTATTCTGACAAGTAAACAAATACAGTTAATTGCCTTGAACTCAATCTTTGCATAAATGAAGTTGCAAAGTATTGTTCTGGGAAATGGGAATTATTACATCCTCCAATATAACATTAAGCTCTTGTGCAAACTCTCCCAAATGAAAAAGAGGTTTTCAAACAGTTAGCAGAATGTCTTTTTATTCTAGGCTTGATGAATGATAAATACATTATTTTGCTTCTTATTAGCAAAGCCAAATCAGAGATAATGCAACTCATATGCAAGCATCAAGGACTCTGTATGTGTCCATTGAATGGACCCCAATACAAACTCTATCCGAAAATGTGCTTGCGTATCTGCAATGAAAAGTTAAAATCAGATAAGCAGCTTGTCGGAAATTCGTTTGATGCTACACACTTGTTGGCTGTTGCAACAAAAATTTCTTGTTAATAGCATAAAAAACATTCGTCACTAGTACAGACCTGAGGTAACTTCTGCTGAAAGGCCACATTCAGACGTGCATCCAAAGTATTTTCACACACTATCTTTCCATCATTTGAAGCCAACACTACTCCTCCCGAGCTTTTAAACACAAGAAAAAGCAACAGCAACTTAGTATCATAAGCATTATTTTGCTAAGCTAATCAAGTACCATAGCATTATGATAATATAATCCTACTTGTAGGTATCAGAAATGACATAAAGATTAGTGATTAGAGGCTCACAATATATATCTTGTAAGAAAGCAAATGAATGACACAAATCAGTAAGGCATAAAAACAGAAACAAGGATGCAGTAACAACTAACAGCGAAGGTCCAGTATATGGAAAAATTAGAGAGGCGAAAGAGGTGAGATACCATGAGGGACCATGTTCTTGTGAGGCAGAGGGAGGTGAGATATCATCAATGGTAATTGTGGGTGCCTGTACTTTAGCTTTTTCAGCATATTCCCTCTTAGAATCCTCAAGAACATACTCAACCGCTTTCTTATCCATCTCCCTGCAGCGTAACAGTACAGAAGGTTCCTTTAAGCGTAGTAACCCCTGAAATTAAAGAATACTAGAGTAAGTTAGAAGCAGTTCCAAGATTCCAAAACCAAATAAATAATCGAGCTTATAATACAAAAAGAAAATAAGACCTGAACAATCAAGGCTTGGAGAAGCTTGTTGTAGTTGTAGGGATTCTTGTCATCAGAAAAGGCTTGGAGAAGTTTCTTGTAGGAGTAAGCATTGGGGTTGTCAGAAACACGAAGAAGCTCCTTAGAAGCTGCTTCCTTCATGTCATTCACAATCTCATCTTGAGCTTGTAAGTACTTAATCCGCGAGGCATTCAGCTGCATCGAATACTCGCTGCATTCTCCAAACAATCAAACAATTTTCAATGATTTATCTATCTACTGTAACTTTACATATTGATGCTTACATCTTTTTGCGAACCTCGACTTGTTTATTCTTGCGTTCATAATCTTGTCTAATCTTTTTCTTCTCAGCTTCAACTAATTGTAATTTCTCAATGTTGAATTCCTAACAATGTACGGATGTACCATACATTACCCAAAATCCAATTGTGAATAACACAACTTATTTTTATTCTTAAATTAATTAATTGACAAGCAAACAAATATGATACGAGTAAATAATTCGTTCAGGGAATTGAATAATGAGTCCAACCAACTTTGGAAATGATACAAGGATTTAAAATAAATACGACATTATCTATAACATTCGGAACAAGAACATCTTTTAGAGACGGAAAGGAGTAATAATAAAGAAAAAACCTCCTCAGCAGAGACAGAGATTTCGTTGGATTTTTCGAGGGCCTCTTGGCGAATGAATTCGACCATTTGCTGAATCTGCTTGGATACGTCTCCATCGTCCATGTTAATTAATGAAAAGGGATTGAAACAAAAATTGAATTGCAAAGCCAATAATAATCTTATAAGTTATAAAATAAGGATCTTGTTTGTTTGTGTAATTATAATTTTGTAAAATGCTTCCGAATTGCCGGCAGATTGTTCAACCTTTGAATAATTCCTCTTCCATTCATTCACTTAACTTATAACTCTGTCACCCGTCTTTTATTTTTGCCGCTTACGTGTACCCCATTTCTTTTTTGCTAACCAACCAACAAATTTTGTAGCCCATTTATTTCTCTTTTAATTTTCATTATTATTCTCTTACACTAAAAAAAAAAAAAACAAATACAAGTAAATGATTTTTTTAGATTCTTGACAAAATAATAAGGGATAGGGGCGTGTATTTTAATAAAATTGTTTATGTTAGATGTAATTCTCCATTCAAATTAAGCTTTTAAATAGTTACATTTCAAATGTTCCAAATTTACATACATGTAGGAATTAGGAAATTAGCACATCTCTAAACATTACTAAAATTGATCAGGGAACAAAGTACATAGGATTGGGAAATTTAAATGTTCGATCACCACTAAAATTGCCTTGAAGATCACTCCATTGGTCTCCTACATTTCCCCAAATCCTATACCCTTGCTCCATTATTTGTCGGCGAATCTCAGACTTGTACATGACTGCACTCTGTCCTCTATACTCCGGCGACCTTAGCAAGTCCAATGCAATGATTCACACACGAGTAAAGTAAAGTTAGCAACATGGTCAAATGCCAACAACGTAACTATATGAAGAAATAATATAATGCATGTACTAACCTCATTATGAGGCGTTCATAGCCAACAAAACCTTGATTTAGTAAATTATCAACAGTAGCTTCGCCAAGGGTCTCTTGATCTCTCCCAGTCAATAAGATGACCTTAAATCCAACTTGAATTAATTTGTTAAACAAATCCAACACGGCGGGAATGGCTGGACTCTCTCCTTTAGAAGCCCACGTTTTAAACTCCGTTGGATTATATGGATCACACCTACAACAAAACAGTAAAATGAGACACAAGTTAATTAAGGACGGATAATATAAATTGGTTGCTAATCTAAATTAAGGATGGCCTAGCTAGGCGTTACCCAAAGCGCTTGGCTCGATAGTAATAGAGGTTGGAGAGGCAAGTGTCGTCGACATCAAAGATCCAAGCATCAAACCCATCACCAAGGGGAGTAACGCCATCCAAATAACCATAAATTTGGTCAATAATCAAGTTAATATCGCGGTAATATTGGCCTCCCACCATGTAGCCCTGTACATGGCGCCAACACTCAGTAGGGATGGTTCTCCAACCTCTCATGTTGTTAGCTTCGACGGCCATCCTCCAGCTAAGGCAGTAGGCTTCACTACTATTACTACTTGTCCCGTTTATTATTGCTTGGCCTCCTGTTGCTGAATGCCGCTTTCTATGCCTCCCTCCTTTCGCCTTTCTCACTTCCTTGGCAATTGTCGTCGATATCAATAACAACAACATCATCACTATAACCTCCCTCTTCCATTTTCCCATTGCTGCAACCGTCCATGCCATGTTACAACTTGGTTCCATTGCATGCATATAAAGATATTCAATGTATAGAATGTTCTAATAATGCAATTAAGAACTAACAAATAAATACTATACTCAAGTGCTCAACTAGTCAACTCTACTAAAATCAATTAATGACTAGACCTTTTTTATCAAAAGCGTGCAGATTCAACCCTTTTAAATGTTTAATGATAGATACTGCGCACTTAATTATTACCTATTGTTTCGGTTGAAAACAATGGGACCTTGCCGAAGGTCCACTGAAATGGAGAAGACTGGATTCGATCCAAGCTGTGTTGGGCCGAAGGTTTCCTGCACAGTGAACACACGTAAACTAGCCTCGGGGGTGTTTCCGAGGAAGGCCCCTCCGATGCTAAAGTCAGTACAATGTGTAAAAAGGAAGACACTATGCAAGAGAGTTTTGTAGCTTGAGGCTTTTGTGGAGTATTTCTCAATGCAAGAATGAGCATATGAATTGGAATAATCAGTGTATGTGATAATGTATGTGATCTCCTCTTGAATGTGTTAATATGATGGCTTTTATACCTTGTCATACTTGGAGAGGTTGGGCTTTAGCCCAATTGGCTTACTTTGTGGGCTGACTTTTGACTTTTGAGCAATTGGAGAGTTGAACCTTGACCTTGGGCTTTTAATTGGATCATTTAGTGCTCAGGCCCAATTTTGACTAAATTGGACCCAAACAACTTGCCCCCCAGACCCGATTTGGAAGAATGACGGGTCGGGTTTGATTTAACTCAGAAAAGGAGGGAAGTAAATGATTTAATTGATCCAAAAATTTGAATTTAAACCGTAATTAATGAGATAACAACGGTTAATGATTTGCGGAAGTTGGACGGATAATGGGCGGTTTAATCACAAGACATGTGTTTAATGGTTACTTAGTGGGTACTTAAGAGAAATTAAAGCACAGACTCTTCGTATCCCGTACCTGGAGATATAAACAGAGGCGCGTCATTCTCCTCACTTATTCACCAACACAAACCCAGAATTCTTCGAGAGAGAAACCAAGAACCCGCATCAAAACTTCGCAAATTCCCCCGAGCATTGAGCTTAGAAACTGAGACTTGCCACTACGAACTCGTAAATCGGCAACTTTCGCTTCAGATTAAGGTAAATTCCTTTGATTTCAGTTTATTTTTCTTCGAATTCGAACTCCTTCCCCTTTTCTTTCGACTTTTCTCTTCGAAATAATCCATGGCAAGAGGAGTTAGAGGTAGAGCCCGTGCTCCAAGAAGAGCAAGGCCGATTCCCGATCCTAGGAATAGGATTGGGACCTGGAATGGTCAAAGGCCGGAGTCTGACCCTGCTGAAGGGATTAGGGCGACTCCCCTTTCCTCGGCTCCTCCTCAAAGAACGGATGAGCCGAGTGCTTCTGGACGGGACGATGAAATTCCCGCTGTCCTTTGGGATATCCTCCCTGGGTTTTCAGAGTGGGAGAATGCCGAAGTCGCTTCGGCCATGATAAAGAACCGCCCCTACTCATGGTGGGTAGAGAACGCCGATCAATATCGATTTGCTGAGCAAATTGAGTTGCACTACGGCATTTTTGAAGCTGATGGATATTGGTGCCGAATGCCCTCAGCATCCGATAGAATCCATCGTCCACCCCCGGGGTATGTGGGGGTGTACACGAGACAGCTTCAGTATGGGCTGAGGTTCCCTTTGGACGTTTTCGTCCGAGACTTGCTGATCCATTACAACATTTCCCTATGTCAGCTAACCCCCACCAGCATCCGAAGGGTGATGACATACTTATGGGTCTGCAAGTTCTTCAAATACGTGCCGAACCTGCACTGCTTCAGAAAGCTCCATCGGCTAGTGCCAAATATTCAGAGTGGGCACGGAAGCCATGGTTCTGGGTGGTATCGGATTGAGTCCCGGCCCCAATACTTGACCATGTGGCCAAATGACTCTTCAGACAAGGACTGGAGAGGTCAATGGATTTGGGTTAGGGCACCCATAGATCCGGGCCACCCTTGCGTCTTCAGCGCTCCCCGGTACTTAGCTGAGCCTGATCCCGAAATGGGAAGTCTAGGTCCCCCCGCAGATAACGGGGCGGATCCGAACCTGGATCAGCAACATATCTTCGGCAAGCTGCCGAACCCGGGGGGGAGTGGTCGAATGCAGCATATCCCGGAGACTTGGCTCCCCGATACGCATTACGTTTTCCAAGAGAATATGCTAGCAGCTGTTGGCCTCAGCCGAAAGTTTAAGGATGGTAAGCTTCTTCGGCTGGGGCCGAGGCTTTTAACTACCTCTTTTTCTTCTCTCGCTTTGCTTTTTTATGCTGTGCCAACATATCTGAGCTAAACTTTTTCCCTTTCCTTTTTTCAGAGCGGGACGAGACCAACGTTGGTATTAACTACGCTCGTCTTGGTGTTAACCGAGAGCGAGTTGTAACTGAACGGGCCCCGTCTATCACTGAGCCGAGGCATAGGGAAGTTCATCTGGACTCTTCCCACTTCCAAATTGAGGCTGTTGCTCTGTATCAGAGGCAGAAGCCTTGGTGGAAGAAGAGAGACCCTTGGTTTCAGCTGCTGAACGAAGAAGCTGAAGCTGCCCGCACAGCCGAAGAGGTTGCACGGGTACTTGAGGCTTGTGAAGGAGGAGAAGGGTCCTCCAGAGCTGCTGAAGCCGAAGCTGCAGCTAGAGCAGCTGAAGAAGACGAGGCTTTGCTGAAAACCTCGGTGAGTTTTCAGACAACTTTTTTTTTTTTTTTTTTTTTTTTTTTTTTTTTTACTCACACTCTTCTTCCCCCCTGTCTGTTACAGTCTGAAGAGAGTAACAGACACAGAGAAGGCAAAGCTCCTGTTCGTCCCGAAGATCAAATACAAGAGTCTTCAGACTCAGATATGGACGAGCAGCCCCTTCTGAAAAGGCGCCGAAGGATGGCCATCATCGGCCCTCATGATTTTCAGCAGAGGCCGATGACCATCGGCGTCGCAATAAGGGAACCTGAGGAAGGCAATGGATCGCCGAGGGTTCCCCAGCCAACACCCCAATCTCCTCAAAAGACCCCTCCGCCACCTCCTGAGATGGAGGTGGATCAGAGAACTCCCGAACCTAAGGGAGGGGTCCAAGAAGAAATCAAGGAGAGTGCTGCTGAGCACGAAAATAAAGATGCCGTGATGTCAAGTGCTGAAGGCTTCACGGCAGATATCGCAAGAGAGGTTGAGGCTTTCGTCCTCACCCCTGAAGAAGAGGAGGTCATAGTACTTGACTCCTCTGAGAAGGACGATGCTGAGACAACCAAGGCTAATCAAGCTCCATCGTCGTCCTTCCCTTCTTTCCAGACTCTGCATTCTGGAGAAATGGGTTTCTCGGCCCCCCGAATTCCAATCCCAGATCACATCTGGGACCTCATATGGGGTCAAAACCGAGAAGGAGCTGCAGCCTACTTCGGCAATTTTGCTGGCATGTCCGAAGTAGACAGGGCAAGGATCTGGTCGCTGAAGGCCACTGCTGGGATGGGCGAATCCAGTAGATCAGTTCCTGACCCAGCCAGGTCTAACCAACTGCTGATGATGCAGGTAATTTTCCTTCATTTCCTCCGAAATTCAGCTCTATTTTTTTCTTATTACTTATTTTTTTTTTTTGTCTTCCTGTTTTCAGTTCGTGCACAATCAGACTCTCACTGTAGAGCTGATTGATACCCTACAAGATAGGGTAGACGCTGCTGTGCACGAAAGGAAGGTGGCTGAAGAGGAAGTTAAGCTTGCTAAGCTGAAGCAAGCAGCAGCTGAAGAGAAGCAGCAGGAGGTTGAGGAGTACGGTAAAAAAGCTGCCGAAGCTCTGAAAACCTTCTGCGATGCTATGGAGATGGAGGTTTTTCCCCCACTGATGGAAGGGGAAAAATTCCTCCAGGAGCATATGGGAGTGGACGTCTCCAAATTCAAGGCTGCTATTGAGAGCCGAATTCAAGAAGGAACTGCTGCACAAGCTGAAGTACAGCAGCGTCTAGAGGCTCTTGAAGCCAGCCGAATGGCTGCTGAAGAGTTGCTCCTGGCCAAAGACGTCCAACTCTCAGAGGCTGCTGCTGCTGCTGGAGCTCAAAGAGCTAAGTTCCAAAAGGCTGAGGATCAACTGCTGATCCAGAAAGTTGAAGTGGCCCAGGCTCAGACAAAGGCTTCCCAAATTCAGCAAGAGCTGAATGAGCTGAAAGGCTCCTCCTCCCAAGTCGCTGATGAGCTGAAGAAATCCAAGGAAGACTTGGAGGAGACCCAGAAGAAGCTGGCTGATGCTGAGGCTTTACTCAAAGTCCGTGTCTATACCCAAGAGGAATATGAGATGGGTTTCAGAAACGGATTCCGAGTATGCCGAAGAGTCTGCCTTCATGCTGAGCCGAAGCTGGACTGGTCTAAATGTGCTGAGTGGGTCCAGAATCCCGAAGACCCTCACATGAAGTTTGCAACTCCAGCTGAAGCTGAAATTCTTAAGGCTGAGGAAGCCGAAGAGGAAGCTGAAAGACTGGAGTTGGAAGCTAAGCAGAGGGAAAGGGAGGCTCGGCAAAGTGCAAAGCCCGCCTCTTCTGCTGCTGGGGCTGAGGCCACCATGGGACTCAACGCTGATCAGTCTGATCCCCCGGCTGAAGCATAGGAACTCGGGCAGTCGTCTTCAGAATCTTGCGGTTCATCATGTGCTTAACTTTAGACTTGCCGCTTTCTGAGTTTTTTGCCTTGTTTTTTTGCTTCAGCTTGCCTTGTCGTACAGCAGTTTTATTTTTTTGCTTATGTACGTATTTCGGCAGCTGTTATTTTCCGCTTGTGGGCGGCTGCCGATACTGAATTATTGAACTTGTAGCTCAATTTTTTTTTTTTTCTTCAGTTGCTTTATTTTTGAATGCTTTACTGTTTCTTTTCTTCAACTCTGCCGAACATAGCTGCACTGCGTGCTTCTTGCCCCCACAGAAATTGAAGTATGACTTTAGTTGAATAAGCAATTTCTGAACTTCTTCAAAATGGATATCCGAAACACAGGGCCAACTGAAGGCAATGCTTCTGGGATACAAGTCTTACTGAAGATTGACTGTCTGAAAGTTGGATATCCGAAACACAGGGCCAACTGGAGGCAATGCTTGGGATATTAGCTTTCTGGGACTAACCTCTTTAGAACAAGTCTTACTGAAATTTGACTTCAGCTGAAAGACCAGCGTTCTTAAAGAAGACGCATATCCGAAACACAGGGCCAACTTAAGGCAATGTTTCGGATAATGGCTCTCTGGGATACAAGGCTCAGTTAAGGCAATATCCCAGAATTGTCCATGGACTCATGTCTT